CAGCGACAGTCGAAGCGACGGAGTAGTCCGACAGAGTAGTCAGACAGTAGTCAGACAGGCCTAGACAGACAGGCCTAGACAGACAGGCCTAGACAGACAGGCCTAGCCAGTGTAGACAGAGTAGACAGACAGAGTAGTCAGACAGGCCTAGTCAGACAGGCCTAGACAGACAGGCCTAGACAGACAGGCCTAGCCAGTGAGTGGGGGCTCTCTCACAGGTTGAGCGGCAGGTTCACCGCTGACCCACGGCTTAGTCAGACAGGCCTAGTCAGACAGGCCTAGCCAGTGTAGACAGAGTAGACAGACAGAGTAGTCAGACAGGCCTAGTCAGACAGGCCTAGTCAGACAGGCCTAGCCAGTGTAGACAGAGTAGACAGACAGAGTAGTCAGACAGGCCTAGTCAGACAGGCCTAGTCAGACAGGCCTAGCCAGTGTAGACAGAGTAGACAGACAGAGTAGTCAGACAGGCCTAGTCAGACAGGCCTAGCCAGTGAGCGGGGGCTCTCTCACAGGTTGAGCGGCAGGTTCACCGCTGACCCACGGCCTAGTCAGACAGGCCTAGTCAGACAGAGTAGTCAGACAGGCCTAGACAGACAGGCCTAGACAGACAGGCCTAGCCAGTGAGTGGGGGCTCTCTCACAGGTTGAGCGGCAGGTTCACCGCTGACCCAAGGCTCCCGTGCAGCGACAGTCGAAGCGATGGAGTAGTCAGACAGAGTAGTCAGACAGAGTAGTCAGACAGGCCTAGTCAGACAGGCCTAGTCAGACAGGCCTAGTCAGACAGGCCTAGCCAGTGTAGACAGAGTAGACAGACAGGCCTAGTCAGACAGGCCTAGTCAGACAGGCCTAGCCAGTGAGCGGGGGCTCTCTCACAGGTTGAGCGGCAGGTTCACCGCTGACCCAAGGCTCCCGTGCAGCGACAGTCGAAGCGATGGAGTAGTCAGACAGAGTAGTCAGACAGGCCTAGTCAGACAGGCCTAGCCAGTGTAGACAGAGTAGACAGACAGGCCTAGTCAGACAGGCCTAGCCAGTGAGCGGGGGCTCTCTCACAGGACGAGCCGCAGGTTCACCGCTGACCCAAGGCTCCCGTGCAGCGACAGTCGAAGCGATGGAGTAGTCAGACAGAGTAGTCAGACAGAGTAGTCAGACAGGCCTAGTCAGACAGGCCTAGTCAGACAGGCCTAGTCAGACAGGCCTAGCCAGTGTAGACAGAGTAGACAGACAGGCCTAGTCAGACAGGCCTAGTCAGACAGGCCTAGCCAGTGAGCGGGGGCTCTCTCACAGGTTGAGCGGCAGGTTCACCGCTGACCCAAGGCTCCCGTGCAGCGACAGTCGAAGCGATGGAGTAGTCAGACAGAGTAGTCAGACAGGCCTAGTCAGACAGGCCTAGCCAGTGTAGACAGAGTAGACAGACAGGCCTAGTCAGACAGGCCTAGCCAGTGAGCGGGGGCTCTCTCACAGGACGAGCCGCAGGTTCACCGCTGACCCAAGGCTCCCGTGCAGCGACAGTCGAAGCGACGGAGTAGTCAGACAGAGTAGTCAGACAGGCCTAGTCAGACAGGCCTAGTCAGACAGGCCTAGTCAGACAGGCCTAGTCAGACAGGCCTAGACAGACAGGCCTAGCCAGTGAGTGGGGGCTCTCTCACAGGTTGAGCGGCAGGTTCACCGCTGACCCAAGGCTCCCGTGCAGCGACAGTCGAAGCGACGGAGTAGTCAGACAGAGTAGTCAGACAGGCCTAGACAGACAGGCCTAGTCAGACAGGCCTAGCCAGTGAGTGGGGGCTCTCTCACAGGTTGAGCGGCAGGTTCACCGCTGACCCAAGGCTCCCGTGCAGCGACAGTCGAAGCGACGGAGTAGTCAGACAGAGTAGTCAGACAGGCCTAGTCAGACAGGCCTAGTCAGACAGGCCTAGCCAGTGTAGACAGAGTAGACAGACAGGCCTAGACAGACAGGCCTAGTCAGACAGGCCTAGCCAGTGAGCGGGGACTCTCTCACAGGTTGAGCGGCAGGTTCACCGCTGACCCAAGGCTCCCGTGCAGCGACAGTCGAAGCGACGGAGTAGTCAGACAGAGTAGTCAGACAGGCCTAGTCAGACAGGCCTAGCCAGTGAGTGGGGGCTCTCTCACAGGACGAGCCGCAGGTTCACCGCTGACCCAAGGCTCCCGTGCAGCGACAGTCGAAGCGATGGAGTAGTCAGACAGAGTAGTCAGACAGGCCTAGACAGACAGGCCTAGTCAGACAGGCCTAGTCAGACAGGCCTAGACAGACAGGCCTAGCCAGTGAGTGGGGGCTCTCTCACAGGTTGAGCGGCAGGTTCACCGCTGACCCAAGGCTCCCGTGCAGCGACAGTCGAAGCGACGGAGTAGTCAGACAGAGTAGTCAGACAGGCCTAGTCAGACAGGCCTAGCCAGTGAGTGGGGGCTCTCTCACAGGACGAGCCGCAGGTTCACCGCTGACCCACGGCCTAGTCAGACAGGCCTAGTCAGACAGAGTAGTCAGACAGGCCTAGTCAGACAGGCCTAGCCAGTGAGCGGGGGCTCTCTCACAGGTTGAGCGGCAGGTTCACCGCTGACCCACGGCCTAGTCAGACAGGCCTAGTCAGACAGAGTAGTCAGACAGGCCTAGTCAGACAGGCCTAGCCAGTGAGTGGGGGCTCTCTCACAGGTTGAGCGGCAGGTTCACCGCTGACCCAAGGCTCCCGTGCAGCGACAGTCGAAGCGACGGAGTAGTCAGACAGAGTAGTCAGACAGTAGTCAGACAGGCCTAGTCAGACAGGCCTAGTCAGACAGGCCTAGCCAGTGAGCGGGGGCTCTCTCACAGGTTGAGCGGCAGGTTCACCGCTGACCCACGGCCTAGTCAGACAGGCCTAGTCAGACAGAGTAGTCAGACAGGCCTAGTCAGACAGGCCTAGCCAGTGAGTGGGGGCTCTCTCACAGGTTGAGCGGCAGGTTCACCGCTGACCCAAGGCTCCCGTGCAGCGACAGTCGAAGCGACGGAGTAGTCAGACAGAGTAGTCAGACAGGCCTAGTCAGACAGGCCTAGCCAGTGAGCGGGGGCTCTCTCACAGGTTGAGTGGCAGGTTCACCGCTGACCCACGGCCTAGTCAGACAGAGTAGTCAGACAGGCCTAGTCAGACAGGCCTAGACAGACAGGCCTAGCCAGTGAGCGGGGGCTCTCTCACAGGTTGAGCGGCAGGTTCACCGCTGACCCACGGCCTAGTCAGACAGGCCTAGTCAGACAGAGTAGTCAGACAGGCCTAGTCAGACAGGCCTAGCCAGTGAGCGGGGGCTCTCTCACAGGTTGAGCGGCAGGTTCACCGCTGACCCAAGGCTCCCGTGCAGCGACAGTCGAAGCGACGGAGTAGTCAGACAGAGTAGTCAGACAGTAGTCAGACAGGCCTAGTCAGACAGGCCTAGTCAGACAGGCCTAGTCAGACAGGCCTAGCCAGTGAGTGGGGGCTCTCTCACAGGTTGAGCGGCAGGTTCACCGCTGACCCAAGGCTCCCGTGCAGCGACAGTCGAAGCGACGGAGTAGTCAGACAGAGTAGTCAGACAGTAGTCAGACAGGCCTAGTCAGACAGGCCTAGTCAGACAGGCCTAGTCAGACAGGCCTAGCCAGTGAGTGGGGGCTCTCTCACAGGTTGAGCGGCAGGTTCACCGCTGACCCAAGGCTCCCGTGCAGCGACAGTCGAAGCGATGGAGTAGTCAGACAGAGTAGTCAGACAGTAGTCAGACAGGCCTAGACAGACAGGCCTAGACAGACAGGCCTAGACAGACAGGCCTAGCCAGTGAGTGGGGGCTCTCTCACAGGTTGAGCCGCAGGTTCACCGCTGACCCAAGGCTCCCGTGCAGCGACAGTCGAAGCGATGGAGTAGTCAGACAGAGTAGTCAGACAGTAGTCAGACAGGCCTAGTCAGACAGGCCTAGTCAGACAGGCCTAGCCAGTGAGTGGGGGCTCTCTCACAGGTTGAGTGGCAGGTTCACCGCTGACCGAAGGCTCCCGTGCAGCGACAGTCGAAGCGACGGAGTAGTCAGACAGAGTAGTCAGACAGGCCTAGTCAGACAGGCCTAGTCAGACAGGCCTAGCCAGTGAGCGGGGGCTCTCTCACAGGTTGAGTGGCAGGTTCACCGCTGACCCAAGGCTCCCGTGCAGCGACAGTCGAAGCGATGGAGTAGTCAGACAGAGTAGTCAGACAGGCCTAGACAGACAGGCCTAGCCAGTGAGCGGGGGCTCTCTCACAGGTTGAGCGGCAGGTTCACCGCTGACCCAAGGCTCCCGTGCAGCGACAGTCGAAGCGACGGAGTAGTCAGACAGAGTAGTCAGACAGGCCTAGTCAGACAGGCCTAGTCAGACAGAGTAGTCAGACAGGCCTAGACAGACAGGCCTAGCCAGTGAGCGGGGGCTCTCTCACAGGTTGAGCCGCAGGTTCACCGCTGACCCACGGCTTAGTCAGACAGGCCTAGTCAGACAGGCCTAGCCAGTGTAGACAGAGTAGACAGACAGAGTAGTCAGACAGGCCTAGTCAGACAGGCCTAGTCAGACAGGCCTAGCCAGTGAGTGGGGGCTCTCTCACAGGTTGAGCGGCAGGTTCACCGCTGACCCAAGGCTCCCGTGCAGCGACAGTCGAAGCGATGGAGTAGTCAGACAGAGTAGTCAGACAGTAGTCAGACAGGCCTAGACAGACAGGCCTAGCCAGTGAGCGGGGCTCTCTCACAGGTTGAGCGGCAGGTTCACCGCTGACCCAAGGCTCCCGTGCAGCGACAGTCGAAGCGATGGAGTAGTCAGACAGAGTAGTCAGACAGTAGTCAGACAGGCCTAGACAGACAGGCCTAGCCAGTGAGCGGGGCTCTCTCACAGGTTGAGCGGCAGGTTCACCGCTGACCCAAGGCTCCCGTGCAGCGACAGTCGAAGCGACGGAGTAGTCAGACAGAGTAGTCAGACAGGCCTAGACAGACAGGCCTAGTCAGACAGGCCTAGCCAGTGAGCGGGAGCTCTCTCACAGGTTGAGCGGCAGGTTCACCGCTGACCCAAGGCTCCCGTGCAGCGACAGTCGAAGCGATGGAGTCACCTCGCCAGAGCCACCCACGGAGGCCCAGTGGCCACTCAGGTGGACACGAACCTGATAGTGGTAGACTGGGGGGGTGGTGGTGGGTGGGTGGGTGGGTGGGGGGGTGGGTGGGGGAGTGGGTGGGTGGGTGGGTGGGTGAGTGGGTGGGTGGGTGGGGGAGTGGGTGGGTGGGGGAGTGGGTGGGTGAGTGAGTGGGTGGGTGGGTGAGCGGGTGAGTGAGTGGGTGAGTGGGGGAGCGGGTGAGTGGGTGGGGGAGTGGGTGGGGGAGTGGGTGGGTGGGGGAGTAGGTGGGTGGGGGAGTGGGTGGGTGGGTGGGGGAGTGGGTGAGTGGGTGGGGGAGTGGGTGGGGGGGTGGGGGAGTGGGTGAGTGGGTGGAGGAGTGAGTGAGTGGGTTGGTGGGTGGGTAGTGGGTGGGTGGGGGAGTGGGTTGGTGGGTGGGTGGGTGGGGGAGTGGGTGGGGGAGTGAGTGGGTGAATGGGTGGGTGAGTGGATGAGTGAGTGAGTGGGTGAGTGAGTGGGTGAGTGGGTGGGTAAGCGAGTGAGTGAGTGAGTGAGTGGATGGTGGTGATGGTGGGAGGGGTTGGTAGATCAATATCAACATCGCCAGCAACATCAACAATGTATAAACAGCTCGGTCGCGTTCATATCTAAATGTGTCGATAAAACCACACACAGAGCCAACTAGCAAGGGTTACATCTTGACTTGAAGGTTTCCTGACTGCAGGAATTAATATTCGTTGGGTCTTTCGGTGATTAAAAACCACTGTTATGAATGTATTAACACCACTCCTCTTGCCCCTGCAGCCCTGCTAGAGGCTACCTGGGGGAGCTTTGTCTGTGTGTGTCTAACACTGCACTTGCCCCTGCTAGAGGCTACCTGGGGGAGCTTTGTCTGTGTGTGTTTCTAACACTGTACTTGCCCCTACAGCCCTGCTAGAGGCTACCTGGGGGAGCTTTGTCTGTGTCTCTAACACTGCACTTGCCCCTGCAGCTAGAGGCTACCTGGGGGAGCTTTGTCTGTGTGTGTGACAGAATTTTCCCCTACAGCCCCTGCTAGAGGCTACCTGGGGGAGCTTTGTCTGTCTAACACTGCACTTGCCCCTACAGCCCTGCTAGAGGCTACCTGGGGGAGTTTTGTCTGTGTGTCTAACACTGCACTTGCCACTACAGCCCTGCTAGAGGCTACCTGGGGGAGCTTTGCCTGTGTGTGTCTAACACAGCACTTGCCCCTACAGCCCTGCTAGAGGCTACCTGGGGGAGCTTTGTCTGTGTGTCTAACACTGCACTTGCCCCTACAGCCCTGCTAGAGGCTACCTGGGGGAGCTTTGTCTGTGTTTGTCTAACACAGCACTTGCCCCTACAGCCCTGCTAGAGGCTACCTGGGGGAGCTTTGTCTGTGTGTGTCTAACACTGCACTTGCCCCTGCTAGAGGCTACCTGGGGGAGCTTTGTCTGTGTGTGTGTCTAACACTGCACTTGCCCCTACAGCCCTGCTAGAGGCTACCTGGAGGAACTTTGTCTGTGTGTGTGTCTAACACTGCACTTGCCCCTGCTAGAGGCTACCTGGGGGAGCTTTGTATGAGTGTGTCTAACACTGCACTTGCCCTTGCTAGAGGCTACCTGGGGGAGCTTTGTCTGTGTGTGTCTATCACTGCACTTGCCCCTACAGCCCTGCTAGAGGCTACCTGGGGGAGCTTTGTCTGTGTGTGTCTAACACTGCACTTGCCCGTGCTAGAGGCTACCTGGGGGAGCTTTGTCTGTGTATGTCTAACACTGCACTTGCCCCTACAGCCCTGCTAGAGGCTACCTGGGGGAGCTTTGTCTGTGTGTGTGTCTAACACTGCACTTGCCCCTACAGCCCTGCTAGAGGCTACCTGGGGGAGCTTTGTCTGTGTGTGTCTAACACTGCACTTGCCCCTACAGCCCTGCTAGAGGCTACCTGGGGGAGCTTTGTCTGTGTGTGTCTAACACAGCACTTGCCCCTGCTAGAGGCTACCTGGGGGAGCTTTGTCTGTGTGTGTCTAACACTGCACTTGCCCCTGCTAGAGGCTACCTGGGGGAGCTTTGTCTGTGTGTGTATAACACTGCACTTGCCCGTGCTAGAGGCTACCTGGGGGAGCTTTGTCTGTGTATGTCTAACACTGCACTTGCCCCTACAGCCCTGCTAGAGGCTACCTGGGGGAGCTTTGTCTGTGTGTGTGTCTAACACTGCACTTGCCCCTACAGCCCTGCTAGAGGCTACCTGGGGGATCTTTGTCTGTGTGTGTCTAACACTGCACTTGCCCCTACAGCCCTGCTAGAGGCTACCTGGGGGAGCTTTGTCTGTGTGTGTCTAACACTGCACTTGCCCCTACAGCCCTGCTAGAGGCTACCTGGGGGAGCTTTGTCTGTGTGTGTCTAACACTGCACTTGCCCCTACAGCCCTGCTAGAGGCTACCTGGGGGAGCTTTGTCTGTGTGTGTCTAACACTGCACTTGCCCCTACAGCCCCTGCTAGAGGCTACCTGGGGGAGCTTTGTCTGTGTGTGTCTAACACTGCACTTGCCCCTGCTAGAGGCCACCTGGGGGAGCTTTGCCTGTGTGTATAACACTGCACTTGCCCCTGCTAGAGGCTACCTGGGGGAGCTTTGTCTGTGTGTGTCTAACACTGCACTTGCCCCTACAGCCCTGCTAGAGGCTACCTGGGGGAGCTTTGTCTGTGTGTGTCTAACACTGCACTTGCCCCTACAGCCCCTGCTAGAGGCTACCTGGGGGAGCTTTGTCTGAGTGTGTCTAACACTGCACTTGCCCCTGCTAGAGGCTACCTGGGGGAGCTTTGTCTGTGTGTGAGAGACACTGCACTTGCCCCTGCTAGAGGCTACCTGGGGGAGCTTTGTCTGTGTGTGAGAGACACTGCACTTGCCCCTGCTAGAGGCTACCTGGGGGAGCTTTGTCTGTGTGTGAGAGACACTGCACTTGCCCCTGCTAGAGGCTACCTGGGGGAGCTTTGTCTGTGTGTGAGAGACACTGCACTTGCCCCTGCTAGAGGCTACCTGGGGGATCTTTGTCTGTGTGTGTCTAACACTGCACTTGCCCCTGCTAGAGGCTACCTGGGGGATCTTTGTCTGTGTGTGTCTAACACTGCACTTGCCCCTACAGCCCTGCTATGGGCTACCTGGGGGAGCTTTGTCTGTGTGTGTCTAACACTGCACTTGCCCCTACAGCCCTGCTAGAGGCTACCTGGGGGAGCTTTGTCTGTGTGTGTCTAACACTGCACTTGCCCCTACAGCCCTGCTAGAGGCTACCTGGGGGAGCTTTGTCTGTGTGTGTATAACACTGCACTTGCCCGTGCTAGAGGCTACCTGGGGGAGCTTTGTCTGTGTGTATAACACTGCACTTGCCGCTGCTAGAGGCTACCTGGGGGAGCTTTGTCTGAGTGTGTGTCTAACACTGCACTTGCCCCTACAGCCCTGCTAGAGGCTACCTGGGGGAGCTTTGTCTGTGTGTCTAACACTGCACTTGCCCCTGCTAGAGGCTACCTGGGGGAGCTTTGTCTGTGTGTGTATCTAACACTGCACTTGCCCCTACAGCCCTGCTAGAGGCTACCTGGGGGAGCTTTGTCTGTGTGTGTCTAACCCTGCACTTGCCCCTGCAGCTAGAGGCTACCTGGGGGAGCTTTGTCTGTGTGTGAGAGACACTGCACTTGCCCCTGCTAGAGGCTACCTGGGGGATCTTTGTCTGTGTGTGTCTAACACTGCACTTGCCCCTACAGCCCTGCTAGAGGCTACCTGGGGGATCTTTGTCTGTGTGTGTCTAACACTGCACTTGCCCCTACAGCCCTGCTAGAGGCTACCTGGGGGAGCTTTGTCTGTGTGTGTCTAACACTGCACTTGCCCCTACAGCCCTGCTAGAGGCTACCTGGGGGAGCTTTGTCTGTGTGTCTAACACTGCACTTGCCCCTGCTAGAGGCTACCTGGGGGAGCTTTGTCTGTGTGTGTGTCTAACACTGCACTTGCCCCTACAGCCCTGCTAGAGGCTACCTGGGGGAGCTTTGTCTGTGTGTGTCTAACCCTGCACTTGCCCCTGCAGCTAGAGGCTACCTGGGGGAGCTTTGTCTGTACCTTTGAAGGGGGCGCTGGACGTTGTGCGTAGGAAGAGGGTGCGGGGATTCTGGGAGACGTGGCGAGCGGATCGCAGAGACCTGCACCATCATCATCAGTATCATCATCATCATCAGTATCATCATCATCATCAGTAACATCATCATCATCAGTATCATCATCATCAGTAGTAGTATCATCATCAGTATCATCATCATCAGTATCATCATCATCATCAGTATCATCATCATCATCATCAGTAACATCATCATCATCAGTAGTAGTATCATCATCAGTATCATCATCATCATCATCAGTAACATCATCATCATCAGTAACATCATCATCATCAGTAACATCATCATCATCAGTAACATCATCATCATCAGTAGTAGTATCATCATCAGTATCATCATCATCATCAGTATCATCATCATCAGTAACATCATCATCATCAGTAACATCATCATCATCATCAGTATCATCATCAGTAACATCATCAGTATCATCATCATCAGTAACATCATCATCAGTAACATCATCATCATCAGTATCATCATCATCATCAGTAACATCATCATCAGTAGTAGTATCATCATCAGTAGTAGCATCATCATCAGTAGTAGTATTATCATCATCAGTAGTATCATCATCATCAGTAGTAGTAGCATCATCAGTAGTAGTAGCATCATCATCATCAGTAGTAGCACCATCATCATCAGTAGTAGCACCATCATCATCAGTAGTAGTAGCATCATCATCATCATCAGTAGTAGTATCATCATCATCATCAGTAGTAGTATCAGCATCATCAGTAGTAGTAGTATCAGCATCATCAGTAACATCATCATCAGTAGTAGTAGTATCATCTTCAGTAGTAGTATCATCATCATCATCAGTAGTAGTATCATCAGTAGTATCATCATCAGTATCATCATCAACCAAACACACAATGGCCTGGTCGGTGAGTGAGTGAGTGGGTGAGTGGGTGAGTGAGTGTGTGGGTGAGTGGGTGAGTGGGTGAGTGAGTGGGTGAGTGAGTGAGTGAGTGGGTGAGTGAGTGTGTGGGTGAGTGGGTGAGTGGGTGAGTGAGTGGGTGAGTGGGTGAGTGAATGGATGAGTGGCTGAGTGAGTGGGTGGGTGAGTGAGTGGGTGAGTGAGTGAGTGGCTGAGTGAGTGGGTGGGTGAGTGGGTGGGTGAGTGTGTGAGTGGGTGAGTGAGTGGGTGAGTGAGTGAGTGGGTGAGTGAGTGTGTGGGAGAGTGGGTGAGTGGGTGAGTGAGTGGGTGAGTGGGTGAGTGAGTGGGTGGGTGAGTGAGTGGGTGAGTGAGTGAGTGGCTGAGTGAGTGGGTGGGTGAGTGGGTGGGTGGGTGAGTGGGTGAGTGAGTGGGTGAGTGAGTGAGTGGCTGAGTGAGTGGGTGGGTGAGTGAGTGGGTGAGTGAGTGAGTGGCTGAGTGAGTGGGTGGGTGAGTGGGTGGGTGGGTGAGTGGGTGAGTGAGTGGGTGAGTGAGTGAGTGGCTGAGTGAGTGGGTGGGTGAGTGGGTGAGTGAGTGTGTGGGTGAGTGTGTGAGTGGGTGAGTGAGTGGGTGAGTGAGTGAGTGGGTGAGTGAGTGTGTGGGAGAGTGGGTGAGTGGGTGAGTGAGTGGGTGAGTGGGTGAGTGAATGGATGAGTGGCTGAGTGAGTGGGTGGGTGAGTGAGTGGGTGAGTGAGTGAGTGGCTGAGTGAGTGGGTGGGTGAGTGGGTGGGTGGGTGGGTGAGTGGGTGGGTGAATGAGTGGGTGAGTGAGTGGATGAGTGGATGAGTGAGTGAGTGGTTGGATGATTGAGTGGATGAGTAGGTGAGTGGATTAGTGAGTAGGTGAGTGGGTGAGTGGGTGGGTGAGTGGGTGGGTGAGTGAGTGAGTGGGTGAGTGGGTGAGTGAGTGTGTGGGTGAGTGTGTGAGTGGGTGAGTGAGTGGGTGAGTGAGTGAGTGGGTGAGTGAGTGTGTGGGAGAGTGGGTGAGTGGGTGAGTGAGTGGGTGAGTGGGTGAGTGAATGGATGAGTGGCTGAGTGAGTGGGTGGGTGAGTGAGTGGGTGAGTGAGTGAGTGGCTGAGTGAGTGGGTGGGTGAGTGGGTGGGTGGGTGGGTGAGTGGGTGGGTGAATGAGTGGGTGAGTGAGTGGATGAGTGGATGAGTGAGTGAGTGGTTGGATGATTGAGTGGATGAGTAGGTGAGTGGATTAGTGAGTAGGTGAGTGGGTGAGTGGGTGGGTGAGTGGGTGGGTGAGTGAGTGAGTGGGTGAGTGAGTGGCTGAGTGAGTGAGTGGGTGAGTGGATGAGTGAGTGGTTGGATGAGTGAGTGGTTGAGTAGGTGAGTGGATTAGTGAGTAGGTAGCTGAGTGAGTAGGTGAGTGAGTGGGTGAGTGACTGAGTGAGTGGGTGAGTGAGTGGGTGGTTGAGTGAGTGGATGAGTGAGTGAGTGGGTGGCTGAGTGAGTAGGTGAGTGAGTGGGTGAGTGGCTGAGTGGGTGAGTGAGTGGGTGAGTGACTGAGTGAGTGAGTGGTTGGATGAGTGAGTGGATGAGTGAGTGGTTGGATGAGTGAGTGGTTGAGTAGGTGAGTGGATTAGTGAGTAGGTAGCTGAGTGAGTAGGTGAGTGAGTGGGTGAGTGACTGAGTGAGTGGGTGAGTGAGTGGGTGGTTGAGTGAGTGGATGAGTGAGTGAGTGGGTGGCTGAGTGAGTAGGTGAGTGAGTGGGTGAGTGGCTGAGTGGGTGAGTGAGTGGGTGAGTGACTGAGTGAGTGAGTGGTTGGATGAGTGAGTGGATGAGTGAGTGGTTGGATGAGTGAGTGGTTGAGTAGGTGAGTGGATTAGTGAGTAGGTAGCTGAGTGAGTAGGTGAGTGAGTGGGTGAGTGGCTGAGTGAGTAGGTGAGTGAGTGGGTGAGTGGCTGAGTGAGTGGGTGGGTGAGTGGGTGGGTGGGTGAGTGGGTGAGTGAGTGGGTGAGTGAGTGAGTGGCTGAGTGAGTGGGTGGGTGAGTGGGTGAGTGAGTGTGTGGGTGAGTGTGTGAGTGGGTGAGTGAGTGGGTGAGTGAGTGAGTGGGTGAGTGAGTGTGTGGGAGAGTGGGTGAGTGGGTGAGTGAGTGGGTGAGTGGGTGAGTGAATGGATGAGTGGCTGAGTGAGTGGGTGGGTGAGTGAGTGGGTGAGTGAGTGAGTGGCTGAGTGAGTGGGTGGGTGAGTGGGTGGGTGGGTGAGTGAGTGGGTGGGTGAATGAGTGGGTGAGTGAGTGGATGAGTGGATGAGTGAGTGAGTGGTTGGATGATTGAGTGGATGAGTAGGTGAGTGGATTAGTGAGTAGGTGAGTGGGTGAGTGGGTGGGTGAGTGGGTGGGTGAGTGAGTGAGTGGGTGAGTGGGTGAGTGAGTGTGTGGGTGAGTGTGTGAGTGGGTGAGTGAGTGGGTGAGTGAGTGAGTGGGTGAGTGAGTGTGTGGGAGAGTGGGTGAGTGGGTGAGTGAGTGGGTGAGTGGGTGAGTGAATGGATGAGTGGCTGAGTGAGTGGGTGGGTGAGTGAGTGGGTGAGTGAGTGAGTGGCTGAGTGAGTGGGTGGGTGAGTGGGTGGGTGGGTGGGTGAGTGGGTGGGTGAATGAGTGGGTGAGTGAGTGGATGAGTGGATGAGTGAGTGAGTGGTTGGATGATTGAGTGGATGAGTAGGTGAGTGGATTAGTGAGTAGGTGAGTGGGTGAGTGGGTGGGTGAGTGGGTGGGTGAGTGAGTGAGTGGGTGAGTGAGTGGCTGAGTGAGTGAGTGGGTGAGTGGATGAGTGAGTGGTTGGATGAGTGAGTGGTTGAGTAGGTGAGTGGATTAGTGAGTAGGTAGCTGAGTGAGTAGGTGAGTGAGTGGGTGAGTGACTGAGTGAGTGGGTGAGTGAGTGGGTGGTTGAGTGAGTGGATGAGTGAGTGAGTGGGTGGCTGAGTGAGTAGGTGAGTGAGTGGGTGAGTGGCTGAGTGGGTGAGTGAGTGGGTGAGTGACTGAGTGAGTGAGTGGTTGGATGAGTGAGTGGATGAGTGAGTGGTTGGATGAGTGAGTGGTTGAGTAGGTGAGTGGATTAGTGAGTAGGTAGCTGAGTGAGTAGGTGAGTGAGTGGGTGAGTGACTGAGTGAGTGGGTGAGTGAGTGGGTGGTTGAGTGAGTGGATGAGTGAGTGAGTGGGTGGCTGAGTGAGTAGGTGAGTGAGTGGGTGAGTGGCTGAGTGGGTGAGTGAGTGGGTGAGTGACTGAGTGAGTGAGTGGTTGGATGAGTGAGTGGATGAGTGAGTGGTTGGATGAGTGAGTGGTTGAGTAGGTGAGTGGATTAGTGAGTAGGTAGCTGAGTGAGTAGGTGAGTGAGTGGGTGAGTGACTGAGTGAGTGGGTGGCTGAGTGAGTAGGTGAGTGAGTGGGTGAGTGGCTGAGTGGGTGGCTGAGCGAGTGGCCGAGTGGCTGAGCCAGTGGCCGAGTGGCTGAGCGAGTGGCCGAGTGGCTGAGCGAGTGGCTGAGCGAGTGAGTGGGTGAGTGAGTGGCTGAGCGAGTGGCCGAGTGGCTGAGCGAGTGGCTGAGCGAGTGAGTGAGTGAGTGGCTGAGCGAGTGGATGAGCGAGTGAGTGGGTGAGTGAGTGGCTGAGCGAGTGGATGAGCGAGTGGCTGAGCGAGTGGCTGAGTGAGTGAGTGGCTGAGTGAGTGAGTGGCTGAGCGAGTGGCCGAGTGGCTGAGCGAGTGGCTGAGTGAGTGAGTGGCTGAGCGAGCGAGTGGCTGAGCGAGTGTGTGAGCATGCAGGCGCGCTTGTGTCTGTCTGCGCCTCTCCCCACCCTCACCACCACTCCTCACCTTTGCCCCAGACCCTGACACCTCCTACCGGAGCAGCTAACGCATCGGCCCTCATCAAAGGCCTGGGCACTCGAGCACAGAAAGCCGGTCAGCACCCCTCCACCACTACTCAGGCCCCTGCTCCTCCTCCTCGTCAGCTCCTCCTCCTCCACCTCCTCGTCGTGGTCGTGGTCGTGGTGGTGGTGGTGGCTAAGCCGCAGCAGGAGCGACGAGGTGAAGATGTGCACGGAGCGTTCATGCTCGCACTTGGCCGACTCGGCTAGGCCTGGCGGGGGTGGTGGTGGTGGTGGTGGTGGCGGGGGCACAGGGAGGTTACAGAGACTCATGGAGATTCATAGAGACCCACAGAGATTCATAGAGATTCGTAGAGACTCATAGAGACTCGTAGAGACTCATAGAGACTCATAGAGACTCATAGAGACCCACAGACTCATAGAGATTCATAGAGATTTGTAGAGACTCATAGAGATTCATAGAGATTCATAGAGACCCATAGAGACTCGTAGAGATTCATAGAGGCTCATAGAGATTCATAGAGACTCGTAGAGATTCATAGAGATTCATAGAGATTCGTAGAGACTCGTAGAGATTCATAGAGATTCATAGAGACCCACAGACTCATAGAGATTCATAGAGATTCATAGAGACTCGTAGAGATTCATAGAGACTCGTAGAGATTCATAGAGACTCGTAGAGATTCATAGAGACTCAGAGATTCATAGAGACCCATAGACTCATAGAGATTCATAGAGACTCATAGGGATTCATAGAGATTCATAGAGACTCATAGAGACTCATAGAGACTCATAGAGATTCATAGAGACCCACAGACTCATAGAGATTCATAGAGACTCATAGAGATTCATAGAGACTCAGAGATTCATAGAGACTCATAGAGACCCACAGACTTATAGAGATTCATAGAGACTCATAGAGACCCATAGAGATTCATAGAGACTCGTAGAGATTCATAGAGATTCATAGAGATTCATAGAGACCCACAGACTCATAGAGATTCATAGAGATTCGTAGAGACTCGTAGAGATTCATAGAGACTCGTAGAGACTCGTAGAGAATCATAGAGATTCATAGAGACTCATAGAGACTCATAGAGACCCACAGACTCATAGAGATTCATAGAGACTCGTAGAGACTCGTAGAGATTCATAGAGATTCATAGAGACTCATAGAGACCCACAGACTCATAGAGATTCATAGAGATTCGTAGAGACTCGTAGAGACTCATAGAGATTCATAGAGACCCATAGAGACTCGTAGAGATTCATAGAGGCTCATAGAGATTCATAGAGACTCGTAGAGATTCATAGAGATTCATAGAGATTCGTAGAGACTCGTAGAGATTCATAGAGATTCATAGAGACCCACAGACTCATAGAGATTCATAGAGATTCATAGAGACTCGTAGAGATTCATAGAGACTTGTAGAGATTCATAGAGACTCGTAGAGATTCATAGAGACTCAGAGATTCATAGAGACCCATAGACTCATAGAGATTCATAGGGATTCATAGAGATTCATAGAGACTCATAGAGACTCATAGAGACTCATAGAGATTCATAGAGACCCACAGACTCATAGAGATTCATAGAGACTCATAGAGATTCATAGAGACTCATAGAGATTCATAGAGACTCATAGAGACCCACAGACTTATAGAGATTCATAGAGACTCATAGAGACCCATAGAGATTCATAGAGACTCGTAGAGATTCATAGAGATTCATAGAGATTCATAGAGACCCACAGACTCATAGAGATTCATAGAGATTCGTAGAGACTCGTAGAGATTCATAGAGACTCGTAGAGACTCATAGAGATTCATAGAGATTCATAGAGACTCATAGAGACTCATAGAGATTCATAGAGACTCATAGAGACTCATAGAGACCCACAGACTCATAAAGATTCATAGAGACTCATAGAGATTCATAGAGATTCATAGAGACTCATAGAGATTCATAGAGACTCATAGAGATTCGTAGAGATTCATAGAGATTCATAGAGACTCATAGAGATTCATAGAGATTCATAGAGACTCGTAGAGATTCATAGAGATTCATAGAGACTCATAGAGACTCGTAGAGATTCATAGAGACTCATAGAGATTCATAGAGACTCATAGAGATTCATAGAGACTCGTAGAGATTCATAGAGATGCATAGAGACTCATAGAGATTCATAGAGACTCGTAGAGATTCATAGAGATTCATAGAGATTAATAGAGATTCATAGAGACTCATAGAGATTCATAGAGATTCATAGAGACCCGTAGAGATTCATAGAGACTCATAGAGACCCATAGAGACTCGTAGAGATTCATAGAGATTCGTAGAGATTCGTAGAGATTCATAGAGACTCGTAGAGATTCATAGAGACTCGTAGAGATTCATAGAGACTCGTAGAGATTCATAGAGACTCATAGAGACCCATAGACTCAAAGAGATTCATAGAGACTCATAGAGACCCATAGAGATTCATAGAGACTCATAGAGATTCGTAGAGATTCATAGAGATTCATAGAGACTCATAGAGATTCATAGAGACTCGTAGAGATTCATAGAGACTCGTAGAGATTCATAGAGACCCACAGACTCATAGAGATTCATAGAGACTCATAGAGATTCATACAGGCTCATAGAGATTCATAGAGACTCATAGAGACTCATAGACTCAGAGATTCATAGAGACTCATAGAGACCCATAGACTCATAGAGACCCATAGAGACTCATAGAGACCCACAGACTCATAGAGACCCACAGACTCATAGAGACTCATAGAGACTCATAGAGACCCACAGACTCATAGAGACCCATAGACTCAGAGACCCACAGACTCATAGAGACTCATAGAGACTCATAGAGACCCACAGACTCATAGAGACCCACAGACTCATAGAGACCCACAGACTCATAGAGACCCACAGACTCATAGAGATTCATAGAGACTCGTAGAGACCCACAGACTCATAGAGACCCACAGACTCGTAGAGACCCACAGACTCATAGAGACCCAAAGGCTCATAGAGACCCACAGACTCATAGAGACCCATAGACTCATAGAGATTCATAGAGACTCATAGAGACCCATATAGACCCATAGAGACACGTAGAGACCCATAGAAACACAGAGATTCATAGAGACCCATAGAGACTCGTAGAGATTCATAGAGACCCAGAGACTCATAGAGACCCACAGATTCATAGAGACTCATAGAGACCCATAGAGACCCATAGAGACCCACAGACTCATAGAGACTCATAGAGACCCACAAACTCATAGAGACCCACAGACTCATAGAGACTCATAGACACTCATAGAGACCCATAGAGATACATAGAGATACATAGAAACCCGTAGAGACCCATAGAGACCCATAGAGACTCATAGAGACCCATAGAGATACATAGAGACCCGTAGAGACACATAGAGACTCATAGAGATACATAGAGACCCATAGAGAGTCACAGAGACCCATAGAGACCCACAGACTCATAGAGACTTATAGAGACTCATAGAGACTCATAGAGACCCACAGACTCATAGAGACTCATAGAGACCCATAGAGATTCATAGAGACTCATAGAGATTCATAGAGATTCATAGAGACTCATAGAGACTCGTAGAGATTCATAGAGATTCATAGAGATTCATAGAGGCTCATAGAGACTCATAGAGATTCATAGAGACTCATAGAGACTCATAGAGACCCACAGGCTCATAGAGATTCATAGAGACTCATAGAGATTCATAGAGACTCATAGAGACCCACAGGCTCATAGAGATTCATAGAGACTCATAGACTCATAGAGATTCATAGAGACTCATAGAGACTCATAGAGACTCATAGAGATTCATAGAGACCCATAGACTCATAGAGACCCATAGAGATACATAGAGACCCGTAGAGACACATAGAGACTCATGGAGATACATAGAGACCCATAGAGAGTCACAGAGACCTATAGAGACCCACAGACTCATAGAGACTTATAGAGACTCATAGAGACTCATAGAGACCCACAGACTCATAGAGACTCATAGAGACCCATAGAGATTCATAGAGACTCATAGAGATTCATAGAGATTCATAGAGACTCATAGAGACTCGTAGAGATTCATAGAGATTCATAGAGATTCATAGAGGCTCATAGAGATTCATAGAGACTCATAGAGATTCATAGAGACTCATAGAGACCCACAGGCTCATAGAGATTCATAGAGACTCATAGACTCATAGAGATTCATAGAGACTCATAGAGACTCATAGAGACTCATAGACTCATAGAGATTCATAGAGACTCATAGAGACCCATAGACTCATAGAGACTCATAGAGACCCATAGACTCATAGAGACTCATAGAGACCCACAGACTCATAGAGACCCACAGACTCATAGAGACCCATAGACTCATAGAGACTCATAGAGACCCACAGACTCATAGAGACCCACAGACTCATAGAGACTCATAGAGACCCACAGACTCATAGAGACCCATAGACTCAGAGACCCACAGACTCATAGAGACTCATAGAGACTCGTAGAGACCCACAGACTCATAGAGACCCAAAGACTCATAGAGACCCACAGACTCATAGAGACCCACAGACTCATAGAGATTCATAGAGACTCGTAGAGACCCACAGACTCATAGAGACCCAAAGACTCATAGAGACCCAAAGACTCATAGAGACCCACAGACTCATAGAGACCCACAGACTCATAGAGACCCAAAGACTCATAGAGACCCACAGACTCGTAGAGACCCACAGACTCATAGAGACCCACAGACTCGTAGAGACCCACAGACTCATAGAGACCCAAAGACTCATAGAGACCCACAGACTCATAGAGACCCATAGACTCATAGAGATTCATAGAGACTCATAGAGACCCATATAGACCCATAGAGACACATAGAGATACGTAGAGACCCATAGAAACACAGAGATTCATAGAGACCCATAGAGACTCGTAGAGATTCATAGAGACCCAGAGACTCATAGAGACCCACAGATTCATAGAGACTCATAGAGACCCATAGAGACCCATAGAGACCCACAGACTCATAGAGACTCATAGAGACCCACAAACTCATAGAGACCCACAGACTCATAGAGACTCATAGACACTCATAGAGACCCATAGAGATACATAGAGATACATAGAAACCCGTAGAGACCCATAGAGACCCATAGAGACTCATAGAGACCCATAGAGATACATAGAGACCCGTAGAGACA